GTTTTAAGCATTAAACGAAGAAGACCTCGGATAAAAGAAGAAAAAAAGTTTCTTCATGATCATTCATTCTCTTATTATATCAATGTGGCACAAGATAATAATATCGTAAGAAGTCCAGTTTGTATCAATGCTATCTTGTCAATATTTGGCATTGGAAAATCAAGAATAGAAAGAATAAGAGGATCTCTTGTTAAAACAGGTTAGTAAAAATAAATAAATGTTTTGCATTATCAAGTATTAATTATTCATTTGAATAAATAATACACACATAAATTTATCTTTTCTAAAAGAAAGGTTTTTTTCTGAATTTAAGCCCCTATAAATTGATTTAATCAATTTAAAACATATAAACATATGAAGCTTGTATATTTGACTTTTTTAAGGAGTTCCTTCTTTAAACCAGCAGAAAAACATACAGACTGACCTTACGCCTTTTCAGAGAATATTGTAAATAGTATCATTGATTATATCAAATCTTTAAAAGGACGCCAAAGTCATTTTGCTTTGCATGAAACTAGAAAGTTGTAATTGCCAGAGGATCTTAATTTATCGAAAATGTATAATATGTACAAAGAGCGTTTCCCACAAAATAAAGTTTGTCGTGAAAGCTACAGGTACTTTGATAATATTTAGTTGCTTATTTATAAGAATATTATTTGATATTATCTAATTGTCTACTTTTCTTATCAGGAAAATATTTGCAGAAAAATTTAACATCAGCTTTGGTTATCCTCGTAATGATACATGCTCAACATGCGATAAGCTCAAAATTATACTTGAAAATCAAGACACTGGTGCAGCTCAGATCATTAAAGCTAGTCACGAAAAAGAACATCATTTGCAAAAAGCAGCAATTCAAAAACTGGTCACCTAGCTCTTGCTTTTGACTTTGCGAAGAATATGAGTTGTCCTAATATATCTACAAATGATGGTGATTATCGTAGACAGCTTTCTATGTACTCATCTAATATACACTGCTTAGGGTCCAACAGAGTACTATTTTGAAGACATTTTACCAAGAGGTATATCTCATTTGCAGCTTTTTTGTGATTCCTGTGCTGGGCAAAGTAAGAACTGGACTGTTATTCGTTTTTTGCACTTCAATGTTGTGAATAAAAAACGGTTTCACAAAATAAAGATATATTTCCCAATAAGAGGCCACAGCTACATGGAGTGTGACCAAGATATGGTTTTAGTTAATCAGAAGGTTCAAGCAGAGCTACCAGTAAATTGGATGGAAGAACTTCATACCTGTCATGAGAAACCTTCACCATTTAAAATGATCAAGATGGAACTGAAAATGTTCTTTAATTTTTCTGATCATATGAAACAATTTTACAAAGTTAAATGTCTAATGCCAAAATGTCCTATATGTGAAATAAATTTCTCACAAGATTTTCCTACTATGTTACAATACAGATTTAATTGGAATGGACATTTTGAAAAAATTGTTATGACAAAAGCTAGAAAAAAAGAAGTGGTGATTGCAAAAGCCCCTCACACGTTTGTACAACGAGAGATTGCCAATCAGCTGTGCCAGGTATGCGGACCTTCAAGCTCTAAAATGTTTTTGCATGCCAGAGGCCCAGTAGTTTTTTAAAGACCTGCCTCACAAAGGTCAAATAAGTGATGATGAATTAGTATCAGAGTTGTCTGAATATGAGTGAATTTAAATTACTGAAACAGATAGCGATTTAAGGAAAAAGATAAATTTATTTTGAAATCGTAGTAAATTTTATTTTTACTTTACTTTTAAAAATAGTAGTATATTATTAAAAATGTATTAAAAAAAACTAATACTTAAAATAAAATCAACCCATTAACATACATTTTTTTAAAAAAAAAAAATTGTGTTAGATAATTCATTATTTTAGGCCAGGGGTAAAAATGTGTTGAAATATGGATTAACCAAATAAACTTAATAACTTTATTTTTTAAACATAAAATTACGGAAAAGCTTATGCAGCAAATTTTTATTTTATTTTTTTATTTATTATTCACCTCCCCAAGGCCCGAGGGAGGCCATAAATTTTTCTCTGTTACTTGTGGTACAACCCTCTCTCAATTTTTCAACTCCGAAACACGAACCTCGACAAGCAAGGGCGCTGCGCGGAGAAACTAAGTTAAGCGCGGTACTTCAAGGAACGTAGTGGGAGTCGAACTCCAAACCTCTCGCTCACAAAGCGAGCGTACTTACCACTACACCACTGTCGCATTTTGCACCTTCTTGCTTTATCTTGCTCTCTCACATACTGCCTATAAGTTGTGTGCCGCACAACTTATAGGCAATATGTTATAAATAATCCCTTTTGAAGTTTTTTTTACACCTCGTTTTCCCTGACTGTGCTAATTATTTGAATTAAAAAAACTTTAAATTAAACATAACAGTTACGCATTTGAATGTATTATTAAAAAAATTGAACGTTGCTTTGGTTTCTAAATTAAAAAAATGCCAATTGCAAGGGGATAACCAGTGATGTTCAAAAAAGATACTAAATCCATATATATATATATATGTATATATATAAATATATATGTATATATATATATATATATATATATATATATATATATATATATATATATATATGTATATATATAAATATATATATATATATATATAAATATATATATATATATATATATATATATATATAAATAAATATATATATATATATTTATATATATATATATATATATATATATATATATATATATATATATATATATATATATATATATGACAATATAAATAAATAATAACACATTTGCCTTTACATATATTTATTTAACTTAGTTGATTGTAAATAATTTTATATTTATTATTTTGGTATTGTATATTACAATTTTACCTGACATAAGCCATTGTCATAATTTCATTGAATCATTGAACTTAATATATATATATATATATATATATATATATATATATATATATATATATATATATATATATATATATATATATATATATATATATATATATATATATATATATATATATATATATATATATATATTTATATATATATATATATACATATATATATATATATATATATATATATATATATATATATATATATATATATATATATATATATATATATATATATATATATACACATACATATATATATATGTATATTTATATATATATATATTTAAATACAAAATTAAATAAATTTATCCTATCTCGAGGCAACAGCTTTTATCATTTATTGCATTACATTTTTTTTACAAAATGCTGCTCTTGATAATTTCTTTAAGTCACCCAGTATTCTAATCTACTACTTGAGAAGGATATTGTGTTATTCATTTTATAGCTGATATCGTAAGCTAAATAATTTAATGAATGAAAAATATAAATTAATTTATAGATGATCAGAGTAGAACACTCTGGCATTGTTCTTAAAGCAACAAAGAAGTTCATGAGGGGTCTTCCATAAAATATGGATGCAGTTATAAGGGGACTAGTTTACCTAAAAACTTATGAATGCGAACAAGAGAGAGACAGCGGTTAAAGACACCAACTATGTACGTAGTGTGACTAATTCTTATTCTCTATCTATTTGAAAACTTGATTTCTTTTTTTTATTAACGAAAGCATAGAATTTCTTGAGTTTAAAAAATTATCATTCTGTTAAGTAACAAAATTAATAATTCTGTTATGAGTGATGTCAAAATAACTAAAATATTTTTATTTTTAATTTTTTGAAAAAGTTATGCGTTGGAAAAAGGTTAGCGGAAAGGGGTTGATTTTGTGATAATAGATATGCATGCAGCGGGAGGAAAAGGGGGCAAAAAAGCATACAGGTGTGTACAATGGGAAGGGGTCCTTTATCAGTTGTTTTACTGCATACATACAGTTTTTCTAAACTAGCTGACATCTGTAATCCACAATACAATGTCACAACAAATGGAACGGTTTTGCAAATATTTTCAATATGAAACTAGATTGGCCAGAGAAACATATTCGCATTTTTATGGATTTATGGATTGGCGGTCTGTCAATGGTTAAAAACTAACTTCACAAAGTCTATACTATCGCTTAGATCTCAAAATACTATCTTCAATTTTTTTTTATTACTATCTTTTATCAAAATACCATCTTTTATCCTAAAATACGTATTCTCACCAACTAAACCAATAAAAAAGTAACGTGATGCAACAAAATGCAGTTTAAGAAAAATAAAAAATGATATTTAAGTAAAAGTAAAATAACTGCAAATAAATATCTTAAGTAAAATATTCAACAAAAATAATTAAATTTTTAAATAAGTCTAACAAATGAAATATCTTGGAAGATTTACAAACCTAAATTTATAGTACTTAGCTACCCAGCAAACATTGAGCAGTCGGACCGACAACGGACCGCTGTCAGCACTTATGCCGTGCCGACGTCGGCCGCCCGCTGCGTTGCCGCGTAGGCTTGCACATCGTGTTTACATCGGTCCGTTAGCAGCAATCTGCAGGCGGCTCGATAGCGGTCCGATGGCGGTAAATCGCAAACTTTTTAACAACTGTCCGTCAGCGGCAAACCGATGAAAAAACGATAGCGGAATAACATAGGACCTTTTATATGTTTTGATCAAGATTGGAATGCATTAATATGCATATCATTATTTTTTTTTTATTTGAACAAAACGCACTTAAAGGAAATTTTTAAATATTTTTAGCTCAATTTTTACGCTAAAAAGAATGGCAAACCCTGCTTAAGCCTGGAAAGCACATCAAATACCTTTTAACTTTGTGCTTAGGTATATAGCCATTAAATACTTAATAAATCAACACAAATTTAGTAAATAATACTCATAACATAAAGAAACACTACCATAACTGTAAATCATTAGGTCATACGTTGCAACGCTTAAGCTCGGTGAACAAATATATGAACAAAAAGAACAATCTGAAGTAATAATAAAATCCTTTTAAGATTGCAATTTACAATTATAACAAAAATATTAAAGTCACAAAAATTTTTTTTTATATCTAAAACATAATATAAAAGATATAAACGTCTATCGACTTTGCTTAACTTGCGTTTGGAGAACCTCCTTTGGAGTATTTCTAGTTTAAAAAGTTAATTGTAAACACTTTATATATAAGTTCAGTTTATTCTCAATCGGAAACTAAATATATTCGAGAAGCCATAACGTGTTAAAATCGATTTACGTTGCAGTCTGCAGACTTCTAATTTTTACCTAAAAGCAGACAACAATATCCAATCAAAATATTGAAACATTTCAGTTTAAAGCTATTATAACGAAACAAACTAACCTTCTCAGCCCTTAAAGACGTTACGTTTAAAAGTTTTACCGCCAGCTATTGACAAGTAACTCCACATACTAAGTGTATCTGCATTGAATAAATGTAAAATTCATTTTAATATCAAAACATAATTTAACAGATAAAAACAGCAAAAACATTGTTTAATTTGAAAAGTTATGTAACTACTTTTAAAAAGCTATATAAAAATAAAGTCATATTATGTGCTTTTCTAAAAGTAAAACTTAATAAACAGTAAGCTTAAATACAACTTCTGACTAATGCTCTACTTACCAATATAGTCGAGGGGTTGAAATAAGTATCTTTTTTCATGTAACAAAAAGTCGACATTTGAATTAGAAAAAATCTAAACATGAAAAAGACAAGAGTAAGTCACTATCATGATATTAAATTGCAGGAATGTTTTCAGATGCCTAGTTTTTATGATAACTATATTAAAGCAGACACTGATTTATAATTAAAATATAAAAACTATCCATTTAAGACGAGCATAATAAACTAACCTTTTCAAACTTTAAAGGCATCATTTGAAGCAAATATGTCTAATTGCCAGTTATTAGCAAGTAACTCCATCGACTATGTGTATCTACATTGAGTTACTACCAGTTTTTTCTAGGACATCTACCATGTCTAAATAAAATTATAGTTTTATTATTGAACATAGTTTTTACTGTACAAACAAAAATGTAGCTCAATATAAAAAAACTATGAAAATAACTTGAGAAAAATGAAAGCTATAAAATTATAATAACAACCATACCGGCGCCATAATTTTCAAATGATTGAGGGTTTTAAACAAGTACAAACTTGTGACCATATTAAGAACACAAAAATTTATTCAAAATCTTCAATCCAGTTTGCAAGTTAAACAACTCTGCTAAACCCATGATAATATTAGGATCATGGCCGACATAACCCTTGGACAACATAGAGACAAAAGCAACTAAACCTGCAAATAAATATTAGTAAATCAGTAAATCAAAGTGTGACATTAAGTCAAAATAATTTTCAAGACAATCTTAAAAAAAAGTCTTACAATCTTAAAAAAAATTAAAAATATTAAATTAAATAAAAATTAAAATAAGCAACCTTAAAGCTTAATTTTGCTAATTCTTTTCACCAAAACAGATTTTCATTAATTATTATTATTTAACCCTACCTTATATAATATGCGCTCTACATTGTATAATATATATTATATAATGTAAAGCGCAATAATTAATAATAATGATACGTAGTAGATACAGATATTTCCCATTATATATATATATATATATATATATATATATATATATATATATATATATATATATATATATATATATATATATATATATATATGTATATATATATATATATATATATATATATATATATATATACGTATATATATATATATATATATATATATATATATATAATATATATATATATATATATATATATATATATATAAATATATATATTTTCATAACTCATCATGACATATGAAAGTATAAAATCATCAATATAAGTCAATATACATCTATATAAAGTCTATATTTTATTTTTTAAATCAAATATATGTATTTCAAGTTGTATTAATATTACAACATATCAATATTTGTATATGAATTTACGTATCATATATTATATAATATTAAGTATATAATATATATAAGTCAATATATAACTCAATATATCAAGTTATTATATAATATAATATTATATATGATACGTAAATTCATATACAACATATCGTACGTCATATGTAATATCATATGACAGGATGTTATATATGAATTTATATATCATATACAAGTTGTTGTATAATAATAATATAAAACAACTTTATTTGATACGTAAATTCATATATAATATATGATACCATTCATACATAGCTTATAATATGGTACCTAATTTCATATATAACCTAAAAATTACATATAGTAATTAATTTCGTATATAACTTGAAATATATATTTGAAATAAAATGTGAATTATAGACTTTATAAAGCATATACAATATAAAGTCTATAGTTCACATTTAATTTCAAGTTATACATGAAATTGAATATAAAATAACATAAAGAGTTTTATATGACTCATATACTCTTATTATGAGTCTTCGTAGTATTTTATATTATAAATACTCGTATATCTAGATATACGAGTATTTATAATATAATATATTACGAAGACTCATAATATGTAACATAACATAATAAAGATATCTTTATATTATATAAAGACGTATAAACTATATGAGTATATATATTCCACAACTTTTCATTTAATGTTTAATAACTTTCCATTTATTGTTATTCTATAACTTTATATTATTTTGTAACTTTCACTATCTATTTGATATGAAATATACAAAGTATATATGTTTTTATACGAGTCTATATATATTTAATAAACTTAAGTAAAAAATATATATACTTTTTGTATTTAATTTCCAATAGATATGAAAGTTATAGCTTTACTGTATATTTTAAGACTAAGACTCTAAGTCTTGGAATATGCAGTAAAGCTATAAGTTTATAAGTAAACAGTTAGGTAAACTTAAACAGTAAAGCTCATGTTATAATTTTAGGCACGTAAATTTTTTGCTAAATAAACTTTATTTACATGCCTAAAATTATTATTTAATAAAGTTTTTTTTCATTTTAGAGTTAACTCTTACTAAGCTTAGTAAGAGTTAACTCTAAAATGAAGAGTTACCTCTTACTAAGCTTAGTAAGAGTTAACTTGAAAATGAAGAGAAACTTTATTAAATAAAATTTTAGGCAAATGAATAAAGTTTATTTACATGCTAAACTTTGGGCATGTAAATAAACTTTATTTACTTGCCTAAAATTATTATTTAATAAAGTTTCTCTTCATTTTAAAGTTATTTAATAAAGCAACATTAAATTTAATAAAGTAACATTTTTAAAGTTATTTAATAAAGTAACATTATTAAAAAATAATTTTAGGCTAAAATTATTTTTTAATAATGTTACTCTCTTAATTTTAGAGTTACCTCTTAGTATTTAATAAACACTAATAAAATAAAACCATAAATCACTATATATCGATATCGACCAATCAAAGTCTCATGGCGCTTGAAACGCTTGCTTTTGATGTTTTTTACTACAGCTTACCGCCATCCAAAAGCCCACTTTGGCATTGTGTGGGCAAAGCTACAGCGTATCGTGATGAACTTCCCGAAGCTGGCATGCCCATTTAAAATTGCATTGGCGACGAAGTGTTTTATCGCTCTTCGGCCGATGGCGGAAAGCCAACATAAAATAGGATGCCGGTCCTGCATAAAACGTTTATTTAAAGTCGGAAAATGGTTATATTTTCTACGTCGATTCAACGTTTTATTTTATACGTTGGCCCAACGTTGTATTTACGTTGATTCAACGTTGAATTTTATATGGCAGAACGTTGTATACAATATTAGTCGAAATTAAATTTTCATTAAATTCTATTTTTTTATATGTATATATATTTATATACCCAGCAAACATCAAGCAGGCGGATCGATAACGGACTGCTGTCAGCACTTATGTCGTACCGACGTCGGCCACCCGTTGAGTTGCCACGTTGGCTTGCACATCGTATTTACATCGGTCCGTTAGCGGAAAACTGAAGGCGGTTCGACAGCGGACCTATGGCGGCAAATCGACAACGTTTGAGCAACGGTCCGTCAGCGGCTAAACGATGATAAAGCCATTGCAGAATAGCATAGGATCTATAATAAGTTTTGACTAAGATTTGAATGCATTAATATACATATAATTATTTTTATTTTTTTGTTTAAATAGAACGCACTTATCGTTAGCAAAAATCTTTATATTTTTCAGCTCAAATTTTTACTCATAAAAAAATGCAAATCCTGCCAATGCCTGGAAGACACATCAAATATCTTTTGACTTTGTGCATAGGTATATAGACAAAATACGAATTTATTATACTAAAATTCTCCTACCACCGAAAAACACCCCAACTGTAAATCATTAGGTTATACGTGGCAAGGCTTAAGCTTCGTGAACAAAAAGACTAATCAGAAGTTATAATAAAATCATTTTATGATTGCAATTTACAATTACAAAATGAATATAAAAGTAACAATATTTTTTTTAAAACTAAAACAAAATATAAAGTATATTTGCATTTATAGATTATTGCTTCACTTGCGTTTAGCGAACGTTTAAAATATAAAATAGTTAATTTTCAACATATCTATAAGTTCAGCTTATTTTCATTTCAATCGAAAACTAAATATATTCAGAAAACCATGTGTTGAAAATTGATTTACGTTGCAGTCTCCAGACTTCTAACTTTCACCTAAAAACAGGCAATGATATATAATGATAATATTGAAACAGTCAAGTTTGAAGCTATTACAACAAAGAACATAAGCTAACCTTCTCAGCTCTTAAAAACGTGTTCGTTTGAAAGTCTGATCCCCAGTTATTGACAAATAACTTCAAATACTAAGTGCATCTACATTGAATAAATATAAATTTAGTTTTATTATTTAAGCATAATTTAAAACATAAAAACAAAAAAAATATTGCTTAAATTGAAAAGCTATGGAAATAACTTTAAAAAAAAAGCTATATAAAAGTAAAGTCATATTGCGTGCCTTTTTAAAAAAATAAAACTTCATATACAGTAACCTACCTGGTATACCTAATCCTATAAATGTGGGGTATAAATATGCTTGAGGGGTTTATGAATAATAAAAAAAAATTATTTCATTAAAAAAATTTTCTTTAATTTTAATTTTAATTTAACAAATAAAATAGTATTTAAAAACGAGATACTTATATGCTAGGTTGGAAGTAAAACCGTAAAACCCACAGCAACTTAAGGGCGATGGTGAACCTTTTGCAAAGCATAAGCCTAAGACACAAGTGCACATCTGAAAAAGAAAGAATCAGAGACAGAATACATCAATAAAAATATATTTTGATAAAATAAAATATAGTTTGTAAATTGAACATAGTTTTCACCATACAAAAAAAAAAAACATAGTGCAATATAATATACTATAAAAATTCCTTGAAAAATATAAAAAATCAAATAATTGATTGAAATAAAACGGTTTAGTAAATAAGTATATAATTTTTTTCTAATAAACTATTTGTAAGTATATAAAGAGCAAATAAATATGTTTAAAGAAAATATGATTTAAATCCAGTTTGCAAATCAAACATCTATCTTATACTCATGGCAATATTTGGATCATGGTCAACATAATTCTATGAAATATAACTCTGGTTGAGGTGAACGGTTTCCTGTAAAGAAATAATATTTTCTTTACAGAAAACCGTTTGGATTTTCTTCAAAAATAACATTAAAATAATTCCAAAATAATAAAATTAAATAAATATCAAAATAATGAAATTAATTTTTACTTTATTCTCTGGTAAGATTCAATATCACGATTTAAATTCTCATCTACAATCTCATACACAAAAGGTTACTGTAGAAAGGAATGAATATGAAAAACACAGATCAATAACTCATTACATAAAAACTTTACTCTATTGAGTTTAAAAATATATATAAAATATTGTAAAATAAAGATAACATATATGTAAATAAAGATGCTTATTTTATTTAGCAATGTACTTCATTTAAGTTAAAGAATGAATTCTACTGAATTTTGTTAAATTTAAATAAACAGTAATTAAGTTTTTAATGTTTCTAAGCTTTTTTTGTTTCCGGAGCCGCTTATTTTGAAATTCTCGATATATTTCTAAGTCTTCTAGGAGTGCTTTTTTTCTCGACTAAAATGGGCTCAAATCTACTATTTCTGTAATTGATCAACTAACTTAAAAGTTTTTAAAATGAGCTAAGAACTGATGATAGGTCTACTGATTTACACTAAAAATCTTTACGTACAAAGTTTACTTGGAATAGTAAATCATATCAAAAAATCAGAGCCACTAAAAACATTCTCTCATTAAGTTTCCAAGTGATATAGCTTCATTATTATTCATTATAGCTTTTATTAAGCTTGTTAAAGGTATCAACCTCAGAAGATGTTCGGTCTGCACTAATAAAAACTTTGTTCCTGTAACTGTCAAATTTTGATAGATTTTTTGCAGAAGCTAGTATACTGTTCCTAATTTCCAAATCTTCAAATTGGACAATAATCGGTTGAGCAGTTGGTGAGTCCTTTTGAGCACTTATATTTGCTGGGAGCTTATGTTATTGCTGGAAGCTTAAGCTTATATATATATGTATATATATATATATATATATATATATATATATATATATATATATATACATATATATATATATATATATATATATATATATATATATATATATATATATATACATATATATATATATATATATATATATATTTTATATATTTATATATATATGTATATATATATATATATATATATATATACATATATATATATATATATATTTATTTATATATTTATATATATATGTATATATATATATATTTATATATATATACATATATATACATATATACATATATATATATATATATATATATATATATATATATATATATATATATATTTATATATATATATATATTTGTGTATTTATTTACATATTTATATATATATGTATATATATATATATATTTATATATATATACATATATATACCTATATATATATATATATATATATATATATATATATATATATATATATATATATATATATATATATATATATATATATATATATATATATATATATATATATATATATATATATATATAGATATATATATATATATATATATATATACATATATATATATATATATATATATATATATATATATATATATATATATATATATATATATATATATATATATATATATATATATATATATATATATATATATATATATATATATATAATATATATATATATATATATATATATATATATATATATATATATAATAGGGTATGTATATATAATAAATAAAAATTAAAAAAATAAACTTTTTACTTAACGGAGAACTTTTTTTAGCAAGATGTCTTAGTTCGTAAAAATTCACAAGCTTAAAAAAGTTGTATCTCAGTAAGTTTAATTCAATTTTGTTGCTCTTTATGTCTAACAAATAATTATGGTAACATGATTGACATTGAAAAATTAAGACTTTATCAGGGCTGATGACGCCAGAGGATCAGGGGATTACGTGCCCCTACCCCTACCTTCCCCGAACACACTTTTTCTATTATGGACTTTTTTTTAATAAAGGTTTTGAAGTTTTTAGAAATGGAGGATTTTGGACTAATGTATTATTTTAATACATTAGTACAAATTTTTTTTTTCAAAAATATAAAACATAATAGTACAAAAGTGTAATACTATTACACTTTTGTATTAATGTAATATGTTTAATACATTAGAGCAAAAGTGTACTTTGCATTCTATGTACATAATGCACACTTCTGTACTAATGTACTCTGGAAAGAATACATTACATCACATTCTGAAATATTTTTGTGTTTAAACATATGTTTTTTTTTATTCATACTAGAAATCAATAAAACTGGAATTAAGGTACTTCAGTACGGTGCATTCATATACCTCATACATGAATACGCAGAACAAAAGTACTTTACTTCCGGATCGGTCGATTTCCAGTTTTGTTAGTTTTTAGTATTTATTAAACATTAAAAGGAAGAATGAGTGCTTCTAAAATTACTAAATTCAATTTAGATAAATAAGTTCCTACCATTACAGATATCCAGATGAAGGGTCTTTTAATACAAGAATGTTTGCTTATTGGAAAAGATATTGACAAGTATGTAATGAAAACATATAAAGATTGCAGAAATATTGTTTTTATTTACTGTATTCACCAAGCCAAACCTTTTATTACTTATTTTACTTTTAAGGTTGATTTCTGTAAGAGAATTTAGTGTACAATTAGCAGAGTTGGCACTTCAACAATGGACAAGATCTTTTTAAGTTTCCTCTGGTATTAAACTAGATATCTTTGGTACAGAAAATAGAATTAGACAGGAATAAGTGATATTTCTAGAGGAAAAGCAGCCCAAAAAATTGTTTCTGCCTGTAAAATCAAGTAAGATCAATTGCTTGACATTACATCTTGTAAATGTGAAATCACTTTATGTAAAAAAAAGTGCACAAATTTAAATAATTGTCTAGATTTTGAACGTATTAAGTGTACCTGTCTAAGGGAAAAAAAGATTCTACAAAGTGAACCTATTTGGTTAAAAGCTGAAGAAGAGAAAACAGGTTAACTATCAAAATATCAAATGACTTGTTAAAATACTAAGGAAACAGCTAGAAAGGTTTCTTTAGAAAAGAGGAAGCTGAAAAGAAAGTCAAATCCAGAAAAAAATCAGAAAAAAAGAAGAGAAAGAAACTTTTAAGAATAAAGGTCTTGTTGAGTGTTTTATACGCGATGATAATTTAAATAGAATAGAAATAGACAATAAACCTGCTTTAACTGATAACTGGAAACAAAATTTTATGTCTATTTGCAACATCCAGTTGCAACATTAGCAGTAGTTTTAGCTTTTCTTCATGACCTTATTCTGGGTAACTTTTTAACACCTGAAAGTCCTATTTGGCTGTAGATCCTAAGAAAGTTGTTAGAGCTTGGAAAGCAGTTATAACTAAAGAAAGACATCTGAACAAACGAAGATTCAATAACAACCTATCAAAAGTATATATTCTGATGGCAGAAAAAATTTTACCAGAGTTTTAAAGCAAAATATTTTAACAAATGATTTCATCAAGAGATTTAATAGAACAACACATAAGTGTTACTTCTGAACCTGACAGTCACTATATTATACATTTTACACCCATGAAGGGGTGCTTGCAATGCTTCCTAATAAGCCTGTTAAACAAGCAGCTATTGGACTATTTAATTGGATGGTTTCTTGGGGTGTACATAAAACTCTAGAAAGTAATAGGAGGAGATTCAACAAAAGCTGTAACTAGTCCGGGAAATTGTGTAGTTTGTTGACAAATCTTGAACAATTGTTGGTTAGAAAGTATTTTTGGTGTATTTGTATGCTACATTGCAATAAGCTTCCTTTGACGCATATTATTGTCGCTCTGAATAAACCCACCAATTCAAAGGTTGGTTTCACCGGACCAATATGAATAGTATGGAAAAACTTGATTTATTTGAACTTATTGTGAATATGGAGCCATTAATTTAGATGTTTAAAAAAATTCCAATTTCAATATCAACATATTCATCTCTCTGCTGATTACATGTTTAAACTGATTACATGTTTGAATTTAGGCAAGATAAAACCAAGGTTTTCTATTATTGCCATCGAAGAGGTACGTTAAAGTTCGTAGTAAGGAGACACTTGATTCAGGCCAAGGAAGAAGGTTCAACTCAATCTGGAAGGCATTTCCATAAAAGAACTGATCCACTCGGACAAAGAAGATAAATCAGAACCTGTATTTACATAACAAATACCTACAAAAGATCTTGACAATTTCTTTAGAAACACCATGAAGCACCTTACTTTAACCGCTTTTACCGCTCTTTCAATAAAATTCACTGAGATATAATTTTTTTAATTCGAAAATTTTGCAATCAGACAAAAGTTCTAGGATTTTGCGATGACAAAAAAACCAGTTCCCCGAAAACAAATAAAAAATGAAAACAAATAAAAAATCAGAAAAAATTTTTTTTTTGATTTTTTATTTGTTTTCATTTGTTATATATATTGACACTATAATATTGATGCTAGAAGTTTCTTTGCCCATTTTTGTTTTAAATGACCTGCTCTAATATATATATATATATATATATATATATATATATATATATATATATATATATATATATACATATATATATATATATATATATATATATATATATATATATATATATATATATATATACATATATATATATATATATATATATATATACACATATATAATATATATATATATATATATATATATATATATATATATATATATATATACATATATACATACATATATATATATATATATATATATATATATATATATATATATATATATATATATATATATATATATTTATATATATATATATGTATATATATATATACATATATATATATATATATATATATATATATATATATATATATATATATATATATATATATATATATATATATATATATATATATATATATATATATTAGGGTGGTCCAAAATTATAAATTATTGAAATTCATTTCTCCACAAGGCTGCCTTTGTTCCTATTAATATTTGCAATATTGTAGCCA